AAATCGAGGTGCAAGACAGTCAAAGCTAAACCAGCAGGCCAGATCTTAAAGGCAGGAAAGCACCAAAACAAATACTAAGAGTATGAAAGTATAAAAGCAAGTGTTTGAACTCCAAGGTGTTAAAAGCAAGTATAGTTAGGCCTTGTTCATGGGCCATTGTAAGGCAAGGGGTGGAGCCCTGTGACAAATACAGCCCTGTCTTCTCTAAGCCAACCTAGATTCTCTGCCACAGAAAGGTGGTGTGTTACTCAGTGTAGTGATGTGCTCTTCAGACGATCTGATGCTTTTGAAGTTTGGTTACCTGCTTCCATCTCAGGTTCTTAGGTCCATGGATTAAAGGAAAAGCAGCCTCCAGTGGAGAGGGATCTAGTGTCATGAATGGTTTCTTTCGGGGATAACCAGATTTCAGTTAGGGCATGAATGGAAAGCACAGAGAAATTAAGGAAATAGGGGAATTTCCTGATGGTGACGTTCTTTCACTACCCACCGCCCCCCTTATGTCTTCCTTGTCTCCTTAACCAGCATCTCTTTTATTATTATAATCATCACTCCTTTGCAAAGCCCTGCAACTCTGCAGTGCCTCTCTCTCCTCTGTCCTATTCCTTGCAAACCCCTGGCTCTGTGAACGCCTAACTCCCCCACCATCTCCTCGCAAAATTGATAACAAGACTCAAGTGTTCATTCAATGTGGCTGGGCGGTCCTGTGATGTTGCCTTTGGATGGGCCATGCCGCCTTCCGAGAGGGGCCTGTCTGTCTTCCCCCTTCTTAGACTTCCAGCTCCCCCTCCACTGCCCCTCCCTTCAGCTGCCGACCTCACTTGGTATTTCAGTGTAACTTAAGTGAAGCAATCTGCCAAGAACTTCCTTACTGCCTGTTTGAACCCTCACTCCACCCTCCTCCCTTTTACAGTAGAACCTTTCCTTCTTGCTTTTCCAAGTACCTTTCTCCTGCAGGGACGTCTCTACCGGATGGTGCTCATCAACATGCACACATGTTAAAAAATGCACCCATAACCTTTGACCCCGCCTGTCCAAATACGGTCCCATTTCTTGGCTCTTCTTCACAGTGAAACTTAGGAGCACCATTCTGTGTGCATCTGCCGCCTGCAGTCCCTCAGCCTTCTCCAGCTCTTCGGCCTTCCCCAGTCTAGCTTCTGTCTGTACTCTCCTGAAACCGCTAATTTTTTTTAAGTGTCCATTTCGTTTCCAAATATAACTGCACATCTCTATCCTTGTTTTCATTTGACCTCTAGAGCAGCATGCAACATACTTGACTTCCCCTCCCTCCCTGAATCGCATCTTCTGGTGTAGTGCCCGTGACACCACCCGCCCCCGTTTCCTTGCTCTCGCTCTCTCTCTCTCACTCCTACTTAGGGGCTTTCTGTGGTGGTTCCCTTCTGCTCAGTGTCTGAATGTGGAAGTGTCCTGGGCCCCTGCCTGGAGCCATCATCCTTGCCTCTAGGTTCATATACCCTCGTGTCCTCCCCCTTGAGCTCAAGACTCACATCCAAATGCTTGCTTGGCATTTCCACTTCAGTGTTTTATTGGCATCTCAACCTCTGTGTGTCTAAACAGAACTCATACTTTCCTACCACATACATGACACCCCCTCGCAGCCTCCTCCATCTCAGTAAAGGTCACCACCATCCGTGAGTGGCTAAAGTTAAAAACTTAGGTGAAATCCTTGACTTTCCCTTCCTCTCCTCCCCGCTCCACCTCTCGTTCATCAGCAAGTCCCCGGCAAGGCCAGTTCTGCCCACTCACGTAGTTCTCTCCATCACCATTGCCTTCATCCTGGTCCAGGTTCCTGTTACGTCTGGAACTATTGCAGGAGCCTCCCTGCTCCCGCTTTGCCCTGTTGAAATGCGTTCTCTACGTGTGGCCAGGGTGGTCTCTAGAGACATAAATCCAGTAATTCGGTGTCTTCCCATTGCACTAGGATAAAATCCCAGCTCCTTACCCTGGCTCAGGGCCCTGCGTGACCCGATGCCTGCCCACCCCCTGCCCTGGCCTTATTTCACACTGTCATCACTAGAGGCACCACTGGACTTAATCTCATGGACCCCAGACAGCTTTTCAGGGTTGGTCACTTGCTCATCATTCAGATCACAGATGTCACCTCCGCAGAGAAGGCTTCCCTGAACACCTTCTTTAAAGAGGCTTCCTCCCAGTCTCTCCCTACGTGTTTACTTATTTAATGTCTTCCTTACTCCACTAGAACTTATACTCCAGGAGGGCAGGGACCACTTGCGTCTGGTTCTCAGTGTTTAGAGCAGTTATTGGCCTCTAGTAGAAAGTAATCAGATATTCATTGACCACTGGAATGAAAAAAGTCTGAAATTGTAGTTCAGTTTTCGGTCATATCGCTTCTGTCACTCTCTTATTTGAACCAGGGCTGCCCCCAAGAGCAATAACTGCCCGATTACTATTTCTCAGGGCAGCGATGCCCTAGACTGCAGTTTCTGACCTGCAAGGGGCTGGAAGACCAGTTAATTCATCTTGTTAAGAGCTGCGTGTGAAGGACAGGAGAATTTGGAAGCAGAGCGCAGCGTGAGTGAGGGGCGTTATCCTTTGTTGATGTGCCGGTGCCCAAGTGTTTTTGTGTGTTGTTGTTACATGAAGATGTATAGATGCTGTCTCGTCAGGATCTTTATCAGTCTAGTATTGTAGGACATACAGGAGAAGGAGAGACGTTAAATTGCTCGGGGCTGTAATGACTGGTTGTCAAAGCGTGGGGCGGGAGTGGTGTGAAGAATGGATAGCGGACCACGCGGGGCTGCCTCCGTGGGGGTTTCTGAGGCGGTGCTTTCACAACCCTGTCCTTGCTGAGCCTGGGGAAGGGCTTTGAAGGGGAGAGATGAGCGTTCTCTTGGTTCTCTGAGGTTCCCTCTGAGACACAGGTGGACTTTTGTCCTTACAGCCAAAGGTCACATTCACACATCACTAGGCAGGGCTTGAGATGATGGCACTTTATGCAGGGGATGGCTACTTTCTCTTTGAGTTTATAAATTTCCCTGGAAGAGAAGATAATAGTACTCAAGGGATTATTTTTATTGTGGTAAAATATACTTGACATCAAATACATCATTTTAAAGTACAGGGGCGTTAAGGACATTGCATCATCCTGCAGCTGTCACCACTGTCTACGTCTACAGCTTTTTCGTATCCCAAACGGGAACTCTGTATCCGTGAGACAGTACCTTCCCTTTCTCCCAGCGCCTGGTAACCGCTGTGCTGCTCTCTGTCTCTGTGGATCTGACTGCTCCAGGTAAAGGAAGGACGCTCCTCCTGTGTCCCCTCTGCTGTCAGCCGCTTCAGCTCAGACGCTCCTGCCCCGGGTGTGTGTGGGTAGGGGGTGGGGTTCCCACGCAAGCAGGTCTCCAGCACCAGCTGGGCGTCCTGCCATTCGGTTCAGTCCTGACACGGTCTACCTGGAGTTGGCGTCAGGTCCCACAGGTGAGGGTGGGGGCCCACAGGACTGCCCCTGCCACCCCCTTCAGGCACCGGTCACAAGTTCAGGCTGTTTCCCGTGCTTCTGACTGTAAATCTGAGGGTCCTACCACCCCCTCCTTGGGTTCAGTTAATTTGCTACAGCAGCTCATAAAACACAGGAGGATATTTTCTTACTAGATCACTGGTTTATTATGAAAGATACAACTCAGAAACAGCCAGGTGGAAGCGATGCACAGGGCGAGGTACGTGGGAAGGGACACAACCTCCATGCTCTCTCTGAGCTCTCTGCCCTCCCAGCACCTCCATGTGTTCACCCACCTGGAAGCTCTCCACACTCCGTCCTTTGGGGTCTTTGTGGAACTGTCATTTCATAGGCATGATTGATTAAGTCACTGGCCATTGGCGATTGATTCGACCTCCATTCACTTTCCCCTACCCAGAGCCTTGGAGCGTAGGGCTGAGAGTTCCAACCCTCTGTACACTGGGTTGGTTCCCTTCCAAAAGTCAGCTCATTCAAGTAAACTCATTATGGTTGAAAGGGACTTACTATAAATAACAAAAGTCACCCATTTTACCATTATTGCTCTGAAGCTTTTTTAGGAACTGGGAACAAAAACTAAATATTGTAACAGAAGATATCCCTATGGTTTTTATGTAGGAAATTACAAGAGTTTTCAGGAGCTATGTGCCAGGAACCATGGATGAAGACCAAATATATATTTCTTATTGTAAATTACAACCATAAATGGAGTCACACAATATTTGTCCCATTTTGTCTGCTTATTTCACTTAACATAATGTCAAGTTTCTTCCATGTTGCACTTGCCAGAATTTCATTCCTTTTTAAGGCTGTGTAATATTCCCTTGGATGTATAGACCACATTGTGTTGATCCATTCATTTATCAGTGGATGTGTGGGTTCATTCCACCTTTTGGGTATTGTGAATAATGCTGCTATGGACCTTAGTGTACAAATAATCTGTTTGAATTCCTGCTTTCAGTTCTTTTGTGTATATACATACTCAGAAGTGGGATTACTGGATCATATGGTAATTGTGTGTTCATTTTTTGAGGAAAGTACTCAAGGGATTTTAAACCTATTAATTTATTAGAAAAAAAGAGAAAAAGGCCCTTCATTTTTTGCCTCGTATACGCTATGCAGTATGTTAGGTGTCAGAGGAACGAAATTAATGGGATATGGCTCATCCTCTCTAGAATTCAGGGACTTAGGATGAGAGGCCTATTTAACAGGTGGATAAATAATTAGCTATTACATGCTGTGTTCAGTGCTGGAATAAGATGTGTATAGAGTACTGTGGGAGCACATTATAGTAACGATTTCTGGTGTTTCTGAAGACAAAATCTCCTTGGATATTGTCCAGGATGGATATTCTACTGAATGCTGGTTAATAGTGGTAAATGCAATGGACAAATTCCAAGATTCAAGTTTTTGTTGTACATTTGATTTTTTTTAATAGCTAACTCTGTCTATCTTTTCTGTGACCTAAATGCCTTTCTTTTTTTTTTTTTTATTTCCCTTCCTCTAGTGGTTCTTAATTGCCAACAGATCTTACAAAGTCAGTGCAGCAAGCTCTTTTTTCTTCAGCGGTGTGTTTGTGGGCGTTATCTCCTTCGGTCAGCTTTCAGATCGCTTCGGAAGGAAAAAAGTCTATCTCACAGGTAATCTGTTAGTGTTCATGAACTGAATAAAAGGACTTATTTCCCAGGGAAGTAATAAGGGGACTATTTCCTTAAGGTTCTCAGGGAATTGCCACGTGGGCACAGCACTGATCTTTATTACGCTGGTAAGAGGCCAAGTTGATTCTGGCCAAGCTTTTTAAAGTGACCAGCACACCCGATGAAGGCCAGATGTTTGCACCGTAAACTTTTCATGGCAGTGCTTTCTGCAACCCCTGGATTCTAATTCATGGCATGTTTCCAAGGACGACAAAGATTGTAACGGTCTACCAGAGCCGTTTCCTTCTGTCTTGGTGTTGATTTATTTCAGATGAGCTCCACAGGACTTAGCATAGTTCTCTTGACGAGCTGAGTACGAGCTAGGATTTTTCAGTTTCCAACATTATTGTGAATAATTTGAAAGGTACACATGATAAGCAGAAATCAACTGGTAACAAAGAAAACCTCAGTTGTTCCTGATAGTTTTTTAGAGGAACTGTTTAAAAAAAAAAAAGCGTAGCTCAGAAAATCTAAATTCACAGACTAACAAATATAATGTATCGTGTTCATCAAATACAGGGTTACCTCTGGATTATTGAATCCTGTTCTTCTCTTTCTAGGTTTCGCTCTTGACATCTTATTTGCTATCGCAAACGGGTTTTCTCCCTCGTATGAGTTCTTTGCAATAACTCGCTTCCTGGTGGGCGTGATGAACGGAGGGATGTCGCTGGTGGCCTTTGTCCTGCTGAACGAGTGTGTGGGCACCGCCTACTGGGCACTTGCAGGTACTGTTTCAGTCCACGATGAGCAGCTCCAGAAAGCCTGGCAGGAAACCACATTAACCCTGGAGTCTAAAATTGCATTTGGACTTGAGGGGCCCTATCCAACTATTAGATTTGCCTTCTGGAGTTTGTTCCGTGTGACCTTGAATGAGTCACGAGTCAGTTTATTTGTCTTCCTCTGTGGAAAGTCTCCCCCAGGCCCACCTCCCCGATGGTGAGCTTGCCCCCCACCCTCGCAGGCTGCCTGCAGATTGTCATGAGAGTGTCGTTTCCCTCAGGAGGCCACCGACTGCTCTTTCCCTTGAGCTGAAAAGAGTACAGAGGTAGGAGATGCTGAAAACTCCTTTCTCGGTGCCTTTATGTTGTATTTTATTAAATCCTTGTCTCATAGGCCTTTCTGGCTTTTACTGTTCTCTTCCAGTCAGCAGGTAATATTTCTTTACTGATGTTTAAGTTCCAAAACGGAGGCCATATTCTGTACTGTTTTTAACCGTCTCGCCATTCTCTCAAGAACTACATTGTAGTAAAATAGATGATTTTAAAAGCTTCCTGGACTTACAGTAATGTCTTGGGAGAGCTGCTGCACTAAACGTCTACTTTGTGGACTGTAGGTTTGCAGTGAGAACGTCCTGTTTGTTCTGCATTTTCATTCATTCAGCTGTACTGTTGATGTTCTTGTACTAACATGGAAACAGGGTGATCGTGCGACTGTGGAGCTGTGTCAGCATGAGGATGTAGGTGAGGGAGTGCCAGCGACCATTCGCTGAGCATCTGTTATGTGCCAGGGAGCATGGGAGGCATTGGCCCATTCCCATAGCGTTCCCAGAGCCTATGAGTTAAGAATTTCTACTTGATTTTTACGGATGAGGAAACTTGGCCTCTGAAAGGTGAGGTGATGTGGCCCCCTTTTCACACAGCTCCTGACCGACAGGGCCAAGATGACACCCAGCTCACGTTGTCCCTGAGGACTCTCCTCCCAGACCTTCAGGAGGTCACCGCAGGTGAATGCTGACCTGCTCAGCCTGTTTTTTCTCACTGGTCGTGTTTCTGAAGTTGGTGAGGGCTAATGTACTGAGCTGGAAGACAGAGGATAAGTAAAATAAACTCTGCTCTGCAATCTGTGTGTCCTCCACACTTCTGTCTAAGCTGAAAGCCCCAGGGGATTGGGCAAGTCAGAGCTGAGCAGGTGAGCGCAAGACCCCAGCTCCATCCTTGCACGACAGCGTCCTGCCTGACTCTCACACGTGGTGCTTTACGGTGCACTTTGTCTACAGCAGCTTTCAAAGGCTTCTTTTTTCGCAAGTCCGGCTCCTCAGCTAGGATCAGTGAGAAAACTTCCTCTGAGTCTTCAGTCTGCCTTGTGATTTAAGGTCGTTTTTTAGGGTCAGGCTTGCTGGGACTTTCTGAGAAATTAGTTATGGTGATCATGACCACTCACATTATCCTGGGAGGACACAAAGGCACCCCCTCATGGGGTTTGGGTTCTCCCGAGGCTGAAGTCTTGCTCGTGTGGAGTGTCATGGGTACATATTTTTCAGGTACCTGGCACGTTCCAGGTCTTGACATATGACTTTCATTGTTCCATGAAAAAGATGCTTTCTTACAAAACACACGTCCTGCCCCCAACCCTGCCAAACTATCTAGATTATTCCTGCCCTGTTGCATATTTTGGGCAAAAAAAACCAAAAACCAAAAAACAAAAACCTCCTGGTCTCTTGCTCCCTTGTCACTCTCCTAAAGGCAGTAAAAAGTTTCCTGATACAGTACTTTAACCTTCCATTCTCGTCCTTGACGCTGAGTTAAGATGAGGCTATTAAAATTTCTGTAGCAGAGAAAAAAGGGAGAAAGAAAAAAATGACAACAGTAGAACCAGGTGGTTGCCAGATTCAGTGTGAGATTCAGAAGGTGCGTGAGAGAGTTCCCGGAAGGCCAGTGCCCCGCCCCGCGCCCAGGACAGAAGTAAGTCTGATGCACCTGCAGCTCTTTTGGGAGGCACTTCCTTCTTCTTTCTTCCACGAGCTGAGTTTTCTCCGGAGTTTTGTCCTTGGCTTTGCTTTTCAAGCTGTCCTCTCTCCAGCACAATTGTATACACTCCTTTGGCTTTTGAACTTCAAGAAGTTGGGGGAAGAAACCTAAATGGTTAGCAAGAGGGAATTATTGGAAGTAGCCTAATTGTTTAGCAGTAAAAATAATAACAATAATAATTTGAGCAATTGTGCTTGATTACAAAATAATATGTGCAGTCTGTATAAAATACTATGTAAAGTGTGTACAAAAAAAGTCTAAGTCCAAACCAGAAACATCCACTTTTGACCAGTTTGCTGTATAGTGCCTAGCAAGAAGAATGAGGAGAACTGATTAAGAATTATTGAGAGTAGAAAAGATAAAATACTAAAGCTGTGAAAAATGTCATAGTAATATATTTATTATTTATTTTTTCTTATATAAATATCTTATAACAAAAGGAATTGATACTCACTGTAAAAAAATAAAACAAGAAATATATACAAGTGAAATATAAAGAATGAATACAGTCCTGCCCATCTACAGACCATCTCGGTAAACGCGTTGCTGCCAGGGCCTCTCCTTTACACACCTGTTCTACAGCATTCATTTATTAAACAGACCCTGCTGTGTACCAGACTCTGCTTTCATAGGCACTTCGGATACAAGTTGGGGGTGGAGGCTTGCTCCAGTGGAGCTTATGTTTTAATCAGGAGAGGCATATGCGAATGTGAGGTAATTTCAGAACATGTTAAGTGCAGTGAAGAAAATGAAACAGGACAGTGGACCGGATAGTAAGTGCAGGGGACAGTGACATTAACTAGGATAGTTAGAAGAAAACCTCAAAGTAGGTGTTTGAGCAAAAATGTGAATGATGAGGAAGACCGGGGCAGTGAGATTCTGAAAGAACTTCCAGTCGGATAGAAAGGCGAGGACCACGGCCCTGAGGCAGGAATGAGCTTCTCTGAGGACCTGGGAAGATGCCCGTGGGTGCAGTGTGGAGAGGCGGAGGGAGGCTGGGGTGAGATCAGGTTGGAGGGGCTGGATGTGATAGGGCCCAAATGAAGATTTTTTTCTTTTTACTCAGAGTACAGTGGGTAGCCAATGAGTGAATTAAATAGAGGAACAAGAGGATCTTATAACCAGAAAGATTACCCTGGTAGGTGTGTGAAGAATGGATTGGAGAAGCAAGAGTGGAAATGGAGGGGTCACTCAGGAGGCTGCTATGATTGGCCCCATGGAACCCAGAGGCAGCTCAGACCAGGTGGGAGGAGTGGAGGAGGAGAGAGGGTGTATTTGCGCTGGATTGGGGTGGGAATGTGACCTGATAAAGGATCCACAAAGAAGGTGGGAGAAAGGGGCGTCAAGGGGACTTCATGGCTTGTGCTCAGAAACTAGATGGCCCATTGGTGTCATTTACAAAAATGAAGTCATCACTCGGTGCTGTTTTCTAACCTGCTGAAATTTGGCCTTTACTAGTGCAAACTGAGCAGGAATCACAGACTTGAAATTAATTTAAAATAAGCAGAAAAGAAATCTGAAAAATAGGCGTATGTACCCAAGGACCCATAAACAGTTACAAAACCACCGATGGTACTCCAGAATTACAGTCTACAAAAGGAGTGATTGGAAACATTCGTGTTTTGTTTTTTTTAACTTTAATTTTTTATCCAAATAACCTAGAACCTTACCACATCTGTATTTCCTTACCTTATCCTTGTCATTTCTGGGCACATATGTGTGGCTTCTTGCTGGACATCAGATATGAATGTCAATTGGCCCCTCAGATTAAAAATATTGCCTTCATTCACCTAAAATTTCTATCCTCTTCTGGGACCTCTATCTATGGTAACGTCATCATGGTATTTAAAGTCATTAAACTAGAATCTTTGAACCATATCCTCTTGTCCATCATAGCCAGTTGATACCAGGTCTTACTGATGGTGATAGAGATTCAGTTGTGATGAGCGTACGTATAAAGGGAAGTCACTTGGTTAAACATGACCGAACCACTGAAGAGTCAGGCCGTGCCGATACCTGGAGCCAGAGTCAGATGCTTCTCATCTCTCTTCCGCATCCTCTCTGAGAAGCTTCCTCTGGTCAGTCAGGGATGGGGCCCAGCCGCTCTCAGGTTTCACCACCAAGTCCAGTGTGTTAAATCCTTGGCAGGAGCTCTGGTCGGCCCGGTTTAGGGAGCTGTGATTGGCAGCCCCCGATTGAACTGCAGGGATTAGGAAAGGGGAGGTCATCTCTCCAAAAAAGAGAAAGAATGTTCTTGGAATTGGAAAAGAGTTCTAGGTAGACAATATTTTATAATAGTTACTCACCAGCAGAGGTGTCCAGATGGCTTTTTTGGGGAGGTTAATAGCTATTAAGAGGCTACACCTATTTTTCAGTAGAATGATATAGCTCACATTTGTACAGCATGCATTATTTCATTGAAACTGATAGCTACCCTTCGAGGCAGAGATTATTATTTCTCTTTCATTGATGAGGAAACTGAGACTCAGAGACATTTAGTGATTTGCCCAAAGTCACACAGCAGTGTGTGACAGAACTCGGGTCTGAACTGGGTCCCTCTGAAATGGTCCCATCCTACGGGCTCTCTTCTTTTTGCCTACGTTGTTGTCAGTGGACACTGAGTCCTCAGAGTTGCTCTGGGCAATGACAGAAAGCCTTGTTCTTGGAAACCAGGTGCTATTTGGTGCACAGTAATGAACCTATAATAGCTATTGATTATCTTAAGTTTCCAGGGAAATCACAAAGGATGGAAGCCCCCATTCCCTTAGCGAACCACGTGTCCTAATGGGTTTTCTGAACACGCTGATCTTGTACTGTCAGCCCTCCCTTTGGCTTCCTCCTTGTCCTCACCAGGGCAGACAGCATACAAGTCATTATTTTTTGTTATAGGTTGATTATCTATGGACAAGAATAAAAGAAACATTGTGTTACAGGATTACTGTAGAAAATTCTTGTAACAAGATCGACAGTGTCCTGTTGCTATGGGATGCCTGCAGGAGCCCGCCTTTCCCTGGGAGGGCGATGGGAGAGGAACGGTACAGAATGCAAGCTCTGCCGTCAGACAGACCGGGGACCACGCCTCCTGGCCGAGCCACACATCTCTGTGTCCTTAGACAGCAGCACCTAACTTCTCTGAGCTATTTCCTCCCTCTGCGTATGGCTAATGATGGCACCTGTTTTGTAGGATAATCTATGTATAAGGCTTAATGCTCAATAAGTGGTAGCTACTATATAAATAAATAGTGATAGATTTATTTACCCATGACTAATAGTAGCAGTTACAGAAAGTGAGTCAGAGGTATAGAATTTGCAAGTATATTGGGCAAGCCAGTGGGTTTAGTCCCCAGTCAGCACTTATTTCAAAAAACATGGGACCTTCAACATCCCACGGTTGATTTTTTTCTTTCAGTGGCTGACAAAAATTCATGCTTCATGGAACTTATATTTCACTTGGGAGAGACAGACAAGAAACAAAATAAAATGTCCTATATCTGATGGTGATAAATTAAGTAGGGAAGGACAGTGGGGAGAACTGGGGAGCAGGTTGTGATTTAGGATAAGGATTTCAGGGACAGTCTCAGGGAGAAAGATGAAGTCCCGGCATTGCCATAGTCACGTGACCTTAAAACCATACCGCCGTGTAGCCAAAAATATTTCCAAGCCTCAGCCACGGGCTCAGGCAGATGTCAGTACAATGTCAATGCAGAAGGCGTTTGGGCAGGCCCTTAACATTCATCCTGACCACATGTGGTTTGTATTTTTCATCTGCCATCCTCCTTTTCCACTGATTTGCTGGCCTCTCTTCTAGTTCTGTCACCTGAACCTCCATATTTGTGTAGATTTTTCTTTCTGCTGACATGTCGCAAGGAAGAGACTGGCCCTGTGACCTGGGTTGGAAACAGTGCTGCAGGTGCTCCTTCATCCAGTAACAGGCCTCTCTTCCTGAATTAGGGTCGATCGGCGGCCTCTTCTTCGCGGTCGGCATCGCCCAGTATGCCCTGCTGGGGTACTTCATTCGCTCCTGGAGGACCCTGGCCGTTCTGGTTAACCTGCAAGGAACAGTGGTCTTTCTCCTTTCTTTGTAAGTAGTTCTTCCTCTTCGAGTTTTGATTTAATAAAACAGAAGGAACATCTTAAGAGGATGTGGGTCAATGAGCGGCGTTATTCCCTTTCAGGAGTTTGCCTGAACTGACTTTGGTGAAGAACTAAATTCCGCAAGCGCTCCAATGCTTGGCAGCTCCTGGGAGGAGAGATGCTTAATTAATTCAGAATGCAGGTATCCCTTGTTTAAAGTAACCTCTCAGTAGACTGCATTTTCACCTTCACATTGCTGATGGAGGGTACCGATTTCTTTTTTAACCTAATGCCTGGCCTAAGGATCTTCAGGCTGGATCACGTCACGTGCTAGGGGTGCGAGTGAGCTGTGATATCGCAGAGCGATCTGTGCATATTGAATATGTAGGGGTACCCGTTCGTCCCCCGGGTGAGTATCATCTCAGGGCCTCTACCTGTGGGTGTGGAAGGCTTCTCAGATATGGGAGAAATCCTTGGAGTGCACGGACTCAAAGTGATGATTCCCTGAGTCAGGGCAGAGTTTACAGACAACTGATCCAGAGTGTCCCACCACGGTGAGCCATCAACTCAGGCCTGTTTCCCCAGAAGTTTTAATGTGCTTATGAAAGATTTTCTCCCCTCAGGTATCAGACCTCTGATTTTACTCATTAAAATCTTTGGGACAAATAAAAATTTGGGCCAGTGGTACCAGCTCTCTTCTGTTCCATGAAGTGAGGGATACCTGGAATAGAATTTGCATTCAGATTTGATTTAGTCATTCTTTATTCAGGTTCTACTAATTGAGATTTGATGGGGATCAAACTGCAGTGTATTTTCATTTTCTCTTTGAAAATAAGAGCATTATTAAGGACAAGCATGAATTTAGTAGAAATAGTTAACCTACATTTAAAAAGGCAAAATCTATGAAATGCATTTAGTTATGTGAATCAGGGTGACGTAGTTTTATTAGAAAGGCAGGCTAACCACTTCTTACGAGCTTGTGTATTGTAAATTTGGGGAATAAATGGGTGCCTAGGATAGATCCCTTGAATTAACTAGCATTTATGTAAATAATCAGTAGATAAATGAGTTTTCTTTTAAAATATTTAATAAATCACATACTTCTCAATCCAGCCTACTCTCATCTCTCCTTCAGTAGCACAGCGACTACACTGGATGATCCAAGCCATTCTGCTTTTCTTTTTCGGAATGTGTGGTCTGAGCTTCTTACTGCTTAGTGCTCAGTGGGGACAGTGACTCTCTGGGAAATTCGTTCAGGTCATGAAAAAGAGGAAACAGAGAAAAGAACACATGAAATTGAAATGTGTTTATTCCATTAGGCCAAGAAAGTAAGGCTTGCTGTAGTCAGCCTCCAGTTTGTGTTCGATTTTCTCCCATCCCGCGTCCCATGCGCTGTTCCAGGCACATTAAGCTGCTCGGTGTTCCAGTCTGTGCCTTAGGCATGTCTGCTTCCGTGCCTGCTACTCAGTGCCATTGCTGATTCCTTCAACGCCCTCGTCCCCATCCCTCTTATCTGTTAGTTAATGGCTTTCCTGCTTAGCTCAAATGCCACTGCCTCCAAGCTTTTCCTGGTCACACCTCAATCATTCGCTTTCTTTTCTGAATGATGCAGCACGCACATCTTTTGTACCCCCTGAGTGGCTCCTTATTTCTGCCTCACACAGGAGCTTGTCCTCTTTATAAAGCAGGAGCTCTCTGACAGCCCGGGCTCTTTGCTCAGGAGCATTCCCTCAGCACCGAAGCCGTGGGCCTGCCACGCAGTAGATGCTTCATGTCTATCAGACAGATGGGGGCACAGAACCCTTTGGAATTGGCCTTCATTGGCCATCAGCAACATTAAGAAAGAGTCACGTTATTTTAGAGTCATACCTGGTTGGTTGGTTTTACTGGAAACATTATTGGTTAACTTAAAAATTCTCTATTTTCATAATACTTGAATCTGGATAGTTTTATTTTAAAAATTAGTGCCCCCTTAATTAAAGCTTTTCCACCTTTAGAACAATTCACCAAAAAAAAAAAGAGAGAGAGAAAAGAAAAGAAATTTGCAGGACATTTTTGAAAAGAGGCCTCATTGTTAAAGTTACGCTGTCTCTTCTAAAAGTGACCAGCATATTGTGTAGAGGGTGGCTGTTCAAAGGCCTGCTTTTTCTTCTAAAAACCTATCTTGCTGTTTTGTGTGCATCTCCAGCATGTGTTAGAGCTCATATTCCCCAGTCTGTCCGTTAACAGCTAGGTGAGGCTTTGTTATCGGAAAGCTTACCAGCTTCTCAAAATGCAGAGAAATACCAGGTCCTAAGTTTATGTAATCCAGATAAACCCTTTCCCAAGCAGAAATGGTTTTATTAACTCAGAGTCAGATTTCCAGAGCCTCAATATCTCTCGAATACCATCTTTAAAAGTGGTTTATAAGGGGGAGGAGTATAGCTCAGTGGTAGAGCACGTGCTTAGCGTGCACGAGGTCATGGGTTCAATCCCCAGTGCCATTAAGAAATAAAGAAAGAAGTAAGCAAACCTAATTATCTCCCCCAAAAACAAACCAAAAGAAGTGCAAAAAAAAGATCAAGTTTTAAAAGTAATTTTTGTTGCTTACAAAGAATTCTGAAAACACAGAGAAACTTAAGAGGAAGGAGGAAAAGGAATTAAATTACCCAGAGATTAAAAATGACGGCTAATATTTTGGTTGTTTCTTTGTTGGTCCTTTTTCACTCCCCTTAGACCTCCTCGGTTTTAAGTTTTGCTATCATAGACTTTCTCGTTATTTCACATTTTCTTTCTAAGGTTTCGCTTATTTTTCTGTCTTTCTAGTATTTCACTTATTTTTCCATCCCGATATACTCCCTGTACTCACCCCACCAGTTGTCTTTTATATTTTTATTTGTGTTTAGACTTGCTCAGGTAGTTTTGCATAGCAACTCATGCGTGGCCCTGGGGATGGGGCCAGTGAATGCTGTGATGGTCAGCAGACCGAGCTTCCAGCAAGACAGTCTTTTCCTTGATTATTTACTTGTGTTTCAGTAACAGTAATCAGCTGGCAATGAGGAAGTAAATAAGGAATTTTTGAGGATGTCATAGAGGGCTTTGTCCCTGCTTTTGTTGACGGCCAAACGTTGTATATGAATAAATCTCTTCCCGTTAGCAAAACTCCCGGTAAAACGCCTGCCTTTTTGTTTCTGTGGTCTTTCCTCTTAGCATCTGTTACATTGCTGGTACAAAATAAAAGAGCTCAATAAATATGGTTATGGACGGACTGGCTGTCCATGAAGTTCCAAATTCCATGATGGCTGTTGCCAAATCACCATCCTTACTGAAAGGCATGGAGAAATCTAAAACACATTTTAGGCAAATAATGCCAAATTCAGTCAGCGGGTACTTGATGTTGTGTTTTGTAAACAAGGCTTCCGAGTTCCTGCCACTCACTTGGTTTTTGAGAAGTGCTCTAAAAGTGTATGCAGAACTGTGAAGAGGAGAAAAGATACTTCATATCTAAATTTTGAAACTGTTAAAAGGTGTCAGTTGGAATAGAAATGTTTAATACTTTGTAGTAATAGTGGAAAATAACTGCGGTGCCATAACTGGAGGTTAACCAGAAAATAACTTTTATTCTTTACGGTCCTGGGGGATCAGGGAACAGCCCCAGGACGTATTAGTGAGTGCGTCTGCTGACTGGAGTATTTTGAAGCCTTAAAGCTCAAAAGTTGCCAAGATTTGATAAACCCTGTTTCATTTTTATGTGAAGTCTTAACATAATCTCTACCTTCTTAATAACATACCACTATGTTAAAAACACTTGGAAATTTTTTTTTCTGGTGGATGATAGAGATTTTTATCTCCCTTGTGAGACTTTTTCAGAACTTAAAAAACCTACTTTATGGTACAGTATTACTGTGACAACACGTGACTATGATTTAGAGCCCTATCCCTGACACATGCCTTATGAAGAATTTGTATTGTTTGGTATTACAGACTTAACCTGCCATTCATATAGTAAAATTTGCTGCAGTAAACACATACAGTTTACTTTTTTACTGGGATTTGGAAGCGTGTTCTTGGTTCCCATTCATAAAGGAGGCGACCATTTAATGTTGGCAGCTGTCAAAAGTAGCCCTCTCTCTCCTACACGTGTCACTGGGAGAGTCAAGCATCAAACCTAACATGGAATCCAGTTGTGGTGAGGGTGATACAGGAAAGACGGATGTGGGCCATGAGGAGGACCGTGTCCCAGGCTTCAGTTGAGCCCCTAGGACGTGCCCCGCCAAGTGTGGGTCTTTGGCTTCGCGCAGGAAAGAATTCAAGAGCCAGCCACAGTTGAGTAAAGGTAGATTTATTTAGAGACATGCATCAAAAGGCAAGAGAAAGGCCACGAGGTGTGGGGGTTGGGTGCTCAGATTAGAGTAAAAGTAGGTACACACTCCATAGGCAGAGTGTGGGCCATCTCCAAAGAGGGAGAGAGAGGGGGCGGCCGTGAGGGGCAGTGTTGCCAGTTTTTATGGGCTCGGTGGCTTCATATGCTAATAAGTGGAAGGACCAGTCTACCCAGGGAAAGGGGCTGGGATTCCCAGGAAGTTGGCCATTTCCTACTTTTTGACCTTTGTGGCTACTAGCCTTGGACTGTCATGGTGCCTGTGGGCATGTTATTCACCATGTTAATATATTACAATGGGTATATATAATGAAGCTCAAGGTCTGCTAGAAGTCAAATCTCCCACCGTCTTGGGCCTCAAGGCCTGCTGGGGGTTGACTCCCCAGCCATCCGGGTGTTTGTTGTTGTGCGGTTCCTTGAATGGCTGTGCCCTGCCCCCTTCCTGTCTCAAGGGGACCACGTTCTTCGTGGGTGGTTGGTCTCCATCCGATGCCCGTGGACCTATATGAATATACAGCCTTTAATGACGTCTCTTTCAGATTCATTCCTGAATCACCTCGTTGGTTATACTCCCAGGGTCGACTGCGTGAGGCCGAAGCAGCTCTGTACCTCATTGCCAAGAGGAACCGCCAGCTCAAGTGCACCTTCTCACTAACGCATCCGGCCAACAGGAGCTGCAGGGAGACCGGAAGTTTCCTGGACCTGTTCCGTTACTGGGTCCTCCTGGGGCACACTCTGACCCTGATGTTCATCTGGTAATTCTGTCTAAGGGCTGTTCTGTGGAGCTGCAGCTCGGAGTTGCTATAGGTCTACTGATAATCTGTTTATTCTTCAGGGTCACAGAAGATTTCACTCTTTTGTTCAGTGTGAAGTTGTTTTCACAGCAACAAGCCCCTCCCCCACTCCATCCCTTCAGCGTTGTGCTCACCTCTTGCTTTCAAGCATCCTGCCTTTCAAGGAGGAAATGATGGTGCCTGATAGCAGGTTTACTGAATGTGAATAAGTAGATACCAGAAATACATCTTTGCTTATTAGATATTTAGTATAATTTTTAAACCCCGCCCCGCCCCCCCAGAAAAGGAAAGCAAGCATGCACACCAGAGGCAGAAGGGTTTCTAAGGAGGATTTTGAAAGCCTCACCCCTCGGTTTTGGCAGCAGTTAGACAGCATGTTCTGATTGCAGTGGCCTGTGTTGCATTTTGTGCGACATCCCAGCCACCCGCCCACTCACTCACTCAGGTGGGCTGAACGTCATCCCTCATACAAGTGCGACCCTGGGAGGGTGACCGGCCAGACTCAAAGCCGTGTGTGCGCATCAATGAATGAACAGATTAGCACTCTCTGAACCTGATTTTCTAGTTTGGCTCATTCTGACCTCAAAATGCTCTCAGTGTTAATGTAAATTGCACTGAATGGTTCAAGATGGTTCCATTTGAGGAATAAAATTGTGGAAAGGGGAGAAATGGAAGGGCAATACTTAAACTATGTGGAGCACACATGTGTCTTAATATTATTCGTTCTGCCAAAGTGCCATGAGCATAACTTGGTCCAGGCTTGGACATGAACATCATATTTACTGGCTTAAAGGACTGCTGTGCTCTGGTTTGCAAGGATTTGCCAAGAAGGCTGCATGGAAACCTACATTTTCGCATGGGGATAAAGGAGAGTCATTTCATATGAAAGTGATCACATAAATAAAGCAAAAACGAAGAGTAGATTGAGAATAAAAAAGGCACAAAGATAGCTTTCTGTATCACGATTCTTTCCCTACCCTGCTAAACCCTGGCTGCCACCTGTATGGTTAGGGGCCAGGTCACGCCAGCTGCTGGCTTCCCCACCGAGCCAGCACAGTGCTGGAGAATCACAAATGCATAGAAGTGTGGAATGAAGGACACAGGCTTGGAAGCATGGAAGTTCAGAGAGCCTTTAAAAGCCCAACCTGGCAACACAGCGTAGGACCTGCTAATCGAAGGTTCTACCAATTGTAAAGTAAAAACTTACAAAGTATGTTCTGGTACTTAAGGCTCCACAAAACTGCATTTGCGTGTCTTGTAGACAGTCAGTCAAACCCTCTGCCTTGGAGAAGCATTTACTTCTTAGGTATTATTCACTTATTGTTTTTAAGGGTTTTTTTTTTTCCAGAAATGTTAACTTTTAGATTCTGACCTTCAGGGGATAAAGAACAGACAAACAAACAAACCAGACTTAGAGCCAGGGAGAATGTTCCTTTTTATTTCATGTCTTACACACAGCCAACGGAGCTCTTCTCAAATAAACTTCTTCCCCCTGGGCTCATAATGTTAAAACAGGCAATAACAGAGACAATGTCATTCCACATACTGCCGTTCTCTTTGAAGATGCCATAAAATTCTAAAATCCTTTCTGTGGATCTGTCATTGAAGAAAGCCTTAACTGGGGACGAAAATTATACCTCTGTGTTTAACATCTGTTCCTTTGGTTATTTCCCACAGTAGTGCCTTCTTAAATAGTTCTTTGATGCCCTAAATATACTGTTAAATATTATGCAAGCATTTTAAATTTTGTTTGGGGCCCATAAAGAGGATTGGAATGATTTTAATAGCTGTAATTATTCATCCCGACGACCAACTCTACCATCAAGGAGTCTTGCGAGCAGAGTCCTCTCCTTGGGACCAGAGTCCTCCTTGCCCGTGTGCTCCCCATCCACTCTCCCTCTCCACCAGCTGGTAACTGAATTCCTCAAGTGTCCTGAACTGGCTTTGTTCATTTGTGCCCCACTTGCCACCGTCACAGCCTGGTTTAACTATGCATGTGTGTTTCCATGGCTGGAATTACTTCCCTGGGATTTCTATTTTAGACACAGAGTAGATACGCACTAACACAGACAACACGTTAGCAATAGTGTCATGTAAGAGGAGGGTCTCTACTGCAGATGGAAAGGATTTTTTAAAATATTTTAGAAAAGAATTTTAATTTGTTTAGCCTGCTGCTCACAGGCAAAGTGCTAGGGGACAGAGAACACAGACAAACTCAGTGTCAACTTGCATCCTTAACCGTGATGTCCCTGCGACGACTCTGCTCATCTTCCTTAGCGTGTGAGTGACAGCTCTGCCCAAGAAGAAGTAATGGGAAGTAGCTGCTGCCCTGGCTCCTTTGCCAGAGGGAGATGAATCACTAAGCAATTCAGCTCCAGGGGGCCCTCTTCCCTCCCCATCACTCTCCTTGGTTCCTGTGGCCCATTCTTAATAGCCCAGGGCACTTGGCCCACTTCGCTGCTTTGGCAGAGATGGAAACAAAGCTTTGCTTTTCCTGTTGGTCGCTTCAGAGTCACAGCTCTTTGGACTTTTTCTAAGGACAAGGGAAGCAAATGGGAATTTCCCCGAAATAAACACTTGTCAAAATGCGTTGTAAAAACTGATGAACTTGCAAAGCCCACGTGTTTTACTGTTTGTATAGAAGTTCATGGTTTGCAAAATGTATTCGTCTACTAGCAAAGCCTGGTGTCAGGGTGTATTTTCGTTTGTTCTAGCCTAGTTTATTTTATTTTTAATTATGCAGTTTCCTAGACACAGAAGTTCCTATCACAGTAGTTCCTCCCTCATCTGCGGTTTTGTTTTCTGGGATTTCAGTCACCCGAGGTCAACTGCAGTCCAACACTATTCAATAGAAAATTCCAGAAGGAAAAAACTCCTAAGTTTTAAATTGCATGCCACTCTGAGTAGCATGACGAAATCTCACACCTCCGCACCCTGTCCCACCCGGGACGTGAACCATCCCCTCGTCCAGCATATCCTGCCTGTCAGTCACTTAGTCGCCATCTCTCTTACCAGACTGACTATCCCGGTATCACAGTGCTTGTGTCCAAGTCACCTTTATTTTACTTACTAATGGCCCCAAAGCAGAAGAGTAGTGATGCCAGCAATTCGAATGTTCTTTTACTGTGCTTAATTTATAAGTTAAAATTAATCACAGGTGTATGTCTAGAAAAAAACATACATATAGGATTCGGTAGTATCCATGGTTGCAGGCATCCACTGGGGGAGTTGGAACGTATCCCCTGTGGCTAAGCAGGGACCACTATATTCCCCTCACTCTAGACCAAGTTCCTGTTCCAGTCTGGGGCTTCAGGATGGCCCTCTGTCCAGCTTAGCTCCTGGGCTCCTAAGTTCCTGTGGGACGTAGGCACCATACCCAGCACAGTGCCTCCCACCCAGGAGGCATTCCCGCAGTGTTTCAGCAGTGGTGTGCAAAACAGATGAATAGCTTTGCTCCTCTCAGAGGATCCTGCCTCTGTCCTGGCCCTCGTCTTCTTTTTCCTGTTATGGGTGTCTGTAGCATGTGCACCTGCTGAATGCCGGGAGGGGATGAGAACCTGGTCAGCGGTTGGAGTCCCGGTGACTCTGGCTGGCAGGCAACCCCCTGATGACTCAGGCACTTACCAGCGTGTGTGCTCAGTGCCATCTTCTGTTGGCTTTCTACACAGGAGTGCTTTTCTCGAGTCATTTTGATAATATCATAACAGTTGCCTTAGGCAAATGTTCTGTAAATTATTGAATTAGATAAAATAAGAGTAGAATCATTGTCCTCTATTAAATGCAGAATTGCCTGATGAAAGCACAATGTCTCCTCTGTCAGAAGCTGACCACTCATTTGCTTTATTATAGAGCATTCGGACGGAGCTCAAATCACTTTCAAGGCCTCTTTATTTTTTATTTTGTCCTAGTATAGAAATTATATTAGGATAGAAAGGTCAGTGGGAGAGTCAAACTTACTACTTGAGACAAGTGGCATTGTTTAAACCAGTATTTGAATCTTCTCTGGCAAATTCTTACGTGCTTTTCTGTTGTCTTTCTTTCTTGTCTTTTGCCCCCAATTGCAGGTTTGTGTGCAGCTTGGTGTATTACGGCCTAACCCTGAGTGCAGGCGATCTAGGTGGAAATATTTATGTCAACTTGGCCCTGTCCGGCCTCATAGAGATTCCGTCTTACCCTGTCTGCATCTACTTGATTAACCAAAAATGGTGAGTATGGGTGGGTATGAAGTACACTGTATAGAGCACACACACACTCTAACATACGTCATTACCTAGATATCATTGTCTTTGTCCATCTGCCAAATACTCCGTGGTGATTAGAATTCTTTTCGGATCAAACACAGTAACAATTCATTTTTTAGTGTGGTAATTCTTGGGCTTCAAGTTTATGAGTATTTATTTAGGTTTTCAATCCAATATGAAAAGACATTACCACTTGACTGTTTCTGAGCAGTCTGTGTGTGATGTTCGTATCAACAGATGGGGTTATTGGCTCCACATCGATAGAACTCCATCAACCCAATCACTGTCATTTTTTTTAATTGAAGTATACTTGATTTATAGTGTTAGTTTCAGGTGTACAGCAAAGCGATTCAATTACATGTATACATCCATTTATGTGTGTACATATATATATGTGTGTGTATATATTTTCAGATTCTTTTCCATTACAGCGTATTACAAGAGAGTGAATCTAGTGCCCTGTACTATACAGTAGGTCCTTGTTGTTTATCTATTTTGTATATAAGTAATGTGTGCCTGTTAATCCCAGACTCCTAATTTATTCCTCCCCTCACCCTTCCTCTCTGGTAAGCATAGTTTGTTTTCTGTGCCCCCAAGTCTATTTCTGGTTTGTAAATAAAATTTGTATCTTTTTTTAGATTCCACATGTAAATGATATCATGTGATATCTGTCCTTCTCTGTCTGACTTACTTCACTTAGAATGATCGTCTCTAGGTCCATCCATGTTGCTGCAAATGGCATGATTTCATTCGTTTCCAATCACTATCATTTAGACGCTCTTATACAATACAAAAAACTAGAGGAACTAGAAAGACTTTTCTTTCCTCTTAAAACCCACTTGACTGTGCTGAGGGGAAAGATAATCCTGCTTTTGCTGCTCATTGTCGGTGGGCACTGTTTAAAAATATTTTTAAAAAGTTCTTTGATAGAGCATGCTTTTGTTGGTTTTTTTTCAGATTCCTTCTGTCATTGAACCCCTGACCAGGGCAATTATAAAAATCCTGTTCTGTGTGAGCTAGGAATCAGTTGGATAATGCCATTTCTCATTCTCCAGAAATCATAATTTCTACCAAAAATGGCATTCCTCTAGCATTTCACTGGATGCTGTTGTCATGGGTGTTGAGGTTAGCGCATTTGAAAGGCAGATTTGGAGTCTCTTCAGTTGAAGGGCTTTTCTCTGGGAGGTGATCTCAGTTGCCTCCGCCCACCCCTCTATTAGTGACTGAGCATGCTCTCATCATGGTCCAAGACCTGAACCAGGCAGCATACTCAGAAATCTGTCCCCAGCATCCCCAGTGTGCCAGATACCTCTCAGGTGTCTCTGGTTGCAGCTTCCTATGCTCACCTCGGAGGACCACATACAGTGTTAGAAGGATACTGTCTGTGTGGGTGTTCTGTATGTCCTTGTGTCCCTAGTGCCTGCCTAGCCCAGCACCTGTCACTTGGAAAGCATTCACACCAACTGTGATATTATGCACAGTGACCTGGAGCCTCAGGTCCTTTCCTGTCTCCCAGCCACCGCCACCAGAGTCAGGATTAAAATCTCAAGCAGAGGGAAGGAACACTGCTTGGGGATCAGGCAGACCTGAGTCCAAATCTAGTCCTAACAACATGTTAGTGAGGTCACTTCTCACAGTCATAAAACTAAGCCTCCATGGAGTTTTCCCTACACCAGGGATTGTAAGATTCCCCTGGCAAAATTGTTATAAAAATGACAAGAAATACTGACGCTCCTAACAGGACCTGGCACGTTGCCAGCCCCTAGGAAAGGCAAGCTTGTTAATGTCCATGACTTTCTTCCAAGTCTAGAGCTCGTAGTTGAAAATTATTTTTCCCAATAAAGCGTGCAATATATTTCACTTCATTCTGACATACTAACAAGAAATTCCTTTCTGTTTATATTTTTAAGAGAAAGAGGGGTGTGTTTAAAGTTTTAACTGCTTGAGCTGCAAGTAACCAAAAAATGAAATGAGCTAGAAAATTCCTTTCTCCGGGTTTCAGTTTTATTCTCTAGAAGATGGAGAATATGACAGCACGTGCCTTACAGCAGGTTTATTATTAGCATGAAGTAAGATAATAGAAAGTGTTTCCGACTGTGCCTGGACCATAGTAAACACTCACAGAAATAGGTAGAACGATTCTATGTTCTTTTCCTGCACACACCATTTAATCCTGCCGACCAGCAAGTTTTCCTTTGTTTTGTGATGATTGCTAATCTTACGGCCTGGTCAGTCGCATTTGCCACTCACTCCTTGAGAAAAGATGCATATCTAATGAAACTGAGGACTTTTAAAAAGGAAGGCTGGGGAGATGGCGGGGATGAATTGATAAGATTCTCAAGAGAAACATGAATGTCTCTGTATTATTTAGGTTTGGTCGGAAGCGGACATTAGCAGCATTTCTGTGCCTGGGAGGACTGGCTTGTCTTATTGTCATGTTTCTTCCAGAAAAGAAAGGTAGGCCTTTCTAATTTCTCCGTGAGGGTTTTGAACAGCACTTTTATTACAATGAATCTCAATATAGTGGAGAGATTACCATATGCCATGCTTCATTTCTGTGATTGCATATTATTTAGCAATTGTGTGGGCTACAATGGGCCAGATTCTCTCCATTGCCTGAACTATTCTCCGGGTGAATAATGTGCTTAGAGGTGCACTATTAATTCTTTCAGGCGATTAAGCTACCATCTGGGGTGTCTGGACTGCAGTCCTGGTGATGTGAGAGTTGTTTATCTGATGATGATGAGGACCATTTAGTTCTGCACAGAAAGGAACTCCGTCCAAGGCTGCAGATTGCTCTCCTCATTCCAGCCAATCACGAGACTGGGGATGAGAGGCACTGGTTCTCAGAGGTGACTTTGGCACCCCTCGGTATCTCCACCAGCATTCCCAGGGCGCCCTAATAGGACAACAGCAACAGTGACAATCAACCTTTTCTCAGTCTTATGTAAAGTGTGAACAAAACATCCACAGGAAAGTTGCTGATTTTAAATTTGTGGCTTTGCTATGCAAACGCAGCGTCAAAAAAGGTCCCTTTGGCACCCCATCTAACATGACTCCTGTGCTTCTGTAGAAATTCTGTAACTGGTGCTGCTTCTCAACCTCTTTTTCACACTCATGCAGCTGAGCCATGCTCGCTGTTGCACTGAGAACTGTAGCTTTAGCAGTCATGTTCAACAGTAAGGGTGGGTCGTCACAGATTCGTTTCCCGTTGGAGCACATCACGTATCAAGTGCTCCTTCAGCGATCACCACTCCTTGAGGGTCAGCTGTACTAGCGTCTCACTGAAGACTCCGAGGCCATGTGAATCGTTCTGCGACCCTCCAGTACACCCGCCGTGCTGTTGGCTGCTGCCCCAAGTTCTGTGCCTTAAATCACTAGTTCGGATTTTACTCAGTATTTAGAACAGCCTCATAGTGATTTTCATGGAATCCTGGAAACTAGAGAATTCAGTAAGTTTGCCTGTTTCTTACCTCTTAGGAAATTGTTGCCTGTGCTAGTGCCAGGAAAAGGAGAAACTCCTCAGCTGCTGGCCTGCCGTGGGCTTGCACAACTATGTGCCCCGTTCAGTTTGTCTGGGACAAGACCTTAATGGGCTTGTGGTTCAGCAGATTCTGTTTTTCAGAGACAACCTGGAAATTCCGTTGTTTTCTACCATAATACCCCGGTGTTCTGTTTGTCACCTACAGAGAGAGGCTTCTCCTTGTTACTCTCTACCTCACCTGTAAGCTGTCACTCCCCTGCAGGCCGGGCCAGTTCATGTCTTTCCTCACCGCCACACATCTGTACTGCAGGTGACCCACACCTTAGGACTCCGCACATGGCCCTTTCTACACAAACCCAAAGGGAGAGCAGATCCAGGGTCTCCCGTCCAGACCGGCCATCACTCTCTGCTCACTTCCGGTCTGTCTGAAGAGCGCAGCGTGAGCCCCTTGTCGACTGAGCCCCTGGTGGACCCTGAGTAACAAGCACAGCACAGCTGAGTGTCTTACAGACGCCCACAGATGTGCCTCGGAACACGATTCCTCTGTCATACTCACGAAAGTGGATGCCTATCTATTTTTGAAGATTTCCAGGGAAAGGAATTCCACCATGTCCCTTAGCAAATTGTTTCTATTTTTAATAGCCATTAGAATGTTAGAATCATCCTCTTCCACTACAACTGAGCCCATTTCCTTTCATTTTATTCATCACTAGAGATAGAGAGCAGATGGTCACCCCCCCCTTTTTTTTTGCATAATCCTTTCTCTGCTTGCAGGGTGTCATCTAACTATTCCTGAATCTTCTCTTCCTTGAGATAAAAAATATTTGTTCTTTAAACTTTCTTTGAACCTTTCATCTTTACTGTTTAATATATTTTGATAGCTTTCTTTTAAATCTCAATTTTTTCAAAGTTCTGAGCTTTAAGCTACCTGTTATGAAAGATCTGATGAGTATATATTAAGAGAGAGACCTAGTAGTTTGAAAAATCCTATTAACATCTCGTGTGAGCTTGGTGACCACTCATTTTCTCACTGCTTTGTATGCTCATTTGCCCTCACTTTTCCCCACCAAACGTGCATTCACTCTCTCCTTTCTGCCAACTTAGGTGTCCCGCCACCTGTAAACTCTTTTTCAGCATCTGCATATGATGGTGGTCCTCTGCATCTGAGGCACAGAGGCATGCTGCTGTAAGAGATAGCCAGGAAGCCAGAAAATAGACTGGTTGGCATTCCTCAGCCTGTGGTTGGTAATTATTAGACAAAAGTGCCCTATTCAGTACATATTTGCACCATGGTTGGCCTCTGAGTAAATGGTCTCCCCTGGGAGCAGTGTTACTGAGTGGTCGCTAATTTTTTCCACAGATTGGTCATTAAACATTTTACCTTGTCTCTATCCTTTCTTGAAGGTTCCTAATTAAGCTGCAATACTGGCGAGCACTTATTAAGTGTTGGCTATGTGCTGGGTTCTCCAAATATGTAGATGGTATTACATATTATCCCCATTTCTTAAGGAAATTAAAGCTCAGGTAGGTCAAGCAACTTGTCCAGAGTTGCACAGTGAGTAAGCAGCACACCTGGGATTTAGATTCCAGGTCTCTCTGACTCTAAAGTCAGTACTCTTTGGGAAATGCTGGTTTGCCCTCTTAGAGTTTTAGGACCAAAGTATTTATTGCATATGGTGAAGCTGTAGCCTTAGGGAATTAATGCTGCCTGATTTGGGCCCATTCTTAACTCTCCAGTGGGCAGGCCTGCTGGGAATTAGCCAGGGTTCGAGAACCTGGCGTGTCAGGGTGCACTGGGCCAGGAGGTTGGCAAGGAAGTTTCTGGTGGTTGTGATTCTACCAGAGGATTTGAATACCAGGAAGTCCCAGCACATGACTGGATAAACAGGGGGTGTCCTCAAACTCAGCTCTAGCAGAACCTTCATACCTCGTTTCTGTGTTCAGCCTCGCCTGCCCATTCTTTAGTCATTTGACTTTTAAAGGGCCTGGTATATGTGGGGCACTGTTCATAATTAAGACCTAGCTCTGGGCCTCAAAGGGTTTACAGTCTAGTGAGGAAAGTGAATGATCCATAAAAACAGAAACAAAAATAAAAACAATAAAAGACAGAAGGTGCCATATGAGTGTTGACAATAGCATGCTGCAGGAACTGTCATTTTAACAGGCTAGGATAGTAATGGAGACCAGCTAGTCTCCTGTTTTAAAACAACTATAAAACCAGACAAAATGTAAGAAACACTGATTTGCAGACACTGGACAACAGGCTGCAGCGGACAGAAGGGATCCCTGAGAGAAAGGAAAACAAAATGGGGCCTCAGGAGTGCCCGAGCTCGAGTCTCCAGGCCACAAGTGCACAGAGGGGGCTTGGAGCCTGGTGAATCCTGGTGCTCTTACAGAATTGAGGAGACAGATAGTAAAGCTTGGGGAGGTCAAAATGGCAGGATTTGCTGCACAAAATTCTGGAGAGGAGGAAGATATACAGAGGAAGAACTCCAGAGATCGCTGAAGGGGCCTGCGAGTCTTTGGCTGCTTACTGATCTGTGCATGCATTTGAGGAAGCTACTGAGGCTGGGGAGAGGGCCACCAGAAGGGAGCAGGTGGAACAATTTTGGGGACCTCGGGCCGTGCCTGGTTTGTGTTCTCTTCAGCCACAAGTGGAACGTTGGGTAGAGACCTTCTGCGTCAAAGTAGCCCAGCGCTGTAGGCTGTTCTCTGCTTGCCTTAAACGTGCTTAAAAAATTCAGAGGATTAAGTGATTCCAAGTAACTTAACTGCATTCCAGGAGAAAGAACAACCGTGTTCAAAGGAATACAGTAAAATTCAGAACTTAACCGTGTAACAGTCACAGCTATGACATCCAGTCAGTATTACCAGGCGTGCAAATAAGTGGGAAAAGCCAGGAGAGAGGTCAATAGAAACAAAACCAAAAGTGACACAGATAATACACAGTGAGGAGATAGGAACCTTAAAACATCTATTACAGATATACGCCATTTGTTTAAGAAGATAGAAGAAAGCATGATCACAATGAGCAGAGAAACAGAAGATATGAAAAAAGATACGTAACATCTAGAGATGAAACATACACTGTATGAAAAATAAAATGCAGTGAATGAGATTAACTACAGAAGATCCGTGAGAAAGACCTAACAGAAGAAACTCCAGAATGAACCAAACAAAAGTCGTAGGACAACACTAAGCCCAGCATGTGTGCCATTAGAACCTAAGGAGGAGGAAGTAAAGAAAAGCTGTTTGCAGAAATGATGCTCACCTGCTTTCCAGATTTATGGAGACTGTAAACACATAATGAGAAAGTGGTCAGTTCATCAAGCAGATGTTACAGTCCTGATTGTGTATACATCTGATAACAGTTCAGAGGACAGGAAACAAAATGGATAGAATTGAAAGGAGAAATAGACAAACTCAGCATTATAGTTGGATATTTCAGTATGTTCTCTCAATGATTGATAGAAAAAGTAGACAGAAAAGAATTAAGGTTGTGGAGACTTGAACAGTCAACATGACCTCATTGACATTTGTGAAACACACTACCCTAAAACAGAAGAGTAGGTGTTTCATCTGAAGTACATCCAGAACATTTACCAAGAGAGACCATGTTCTGGGCCAGAAAACAAGTTTCAATAAATTTAAAAGGATTGAAATCTTGCAAAAATAAGTTCTTAGACCAGAATGGAATTAAACTAGAAATCAGCAAGAGAAAGGTATCAGAAAAATCCTTAAATATTTGGATTTTAAAAAACAGTCTTCTAAAAACGCATGGGTCAAAGAAGAAATCACAAAGGAAATTAGAAAATATTTTAAATTAAACAATAATTAAGGTACAACATATCAGCTCTGTGGGATGCAGTAAAACAGTGCTTCAGGGGAGGTTTATATATATAATCTAAAAATATATCAGGAAAAAGAGGTTTAAAATCAATGATCCAAGCTTTCCCTTAAGAAAACAAAAGAC